CCATAGGAACCCTAGTGCTAGGGTGTGGAGCCCTACCCGAAGGAACCGTAACTGTAGGCTCAAGTCCCCTACCCATAGGAACCCTAACCCTAGGGTCTTGAGCCCTACTATTAGAAAGAGTAACCCTAGGCCCAACTCTGCTCCCCCTAGGAACTCTAGGCGTAGGGTGTGGACCCTACTCGTAGGAATTCTAACATAAGTCTCAACTCCCTTTCCCATAGGCACTGTACACATAGCCCCAACTCCCCTACCCCAAGAAACCCTAATGCTAGTCTGAACTCCCCTACCCAGAGGAACCAGAACCTTAGGAAGGGGAGCTCTACCAGTCGGAACCCTAACACTAGCCCCAACTCCCCTATCCCTGGGAATCCTAACCCTAGGGTGAGGATGCCTACCTGTCAGAACCTGTCAGATGTCTAGAGTGGGGAGCTCCACCTGTCAGAACTCTAGCCCAATCTCTACTAATGTAGGAATAATAGGCGCTGACTCAACTTTCCTACCTGTAGGAAGCCTAATTCTAAGGTTTGGCTCCCTAGTCTTAGGAACTGTAACAGTAGGGCAGGGAGCCAAATCTTTGTAACTCTAACACCGTGGCAGAGAGCCCTACCCGTAGGAACTCTAACCCTAGTGTCAACTCCCCTACCCATAGGAAGCCTAACCCTAGGGTGATGAGCCCTATGCATAGGAACCCTAACCGCAGGGCAATGATCGCTATGCGTAGAAATGCTAACCCTAGAGTGGGGAGCTCTACGGAACCCTATATGCAGCACCAATTCCCCTAACCCTAGGGAGGGGATCCCTCTCTTTAGGAACTCTAATTCTAGCCCCAGCTCTCCTACCGATAGGAACCTTAAACCTAGCCTAACTTTCCTACCTGTGGGAACTCTATCTCTAGCCCCAATTCCCCCACGCATGGGAATGCTCAGCCTAGCCTCAAATCCCCTACATGTAGAAACCCTAACCCTAGCCCCAACTCCCCTACCTTTAGGAACCCTAACCCCAGGGTTGGGGGAGCCCTACCCCTAAGAACTCTAACCCTAGCAAGGGTAGTCCTATCCGTAGGAACCCTAACCTTAGGGCAGGGAGCCATACCTGTAGCAACGCTAATTCTAGCCCCAACTCGCCTAGCCGTAGGAAACCTAACCCTAGCTCCACCTCTCTTACCTGTAGGAACCCTAATCATAGCCTCACCTCCCTTTAACCCCAATGCCCTTATCCACAGTTACCCTAGACCCACCTCCCCTACTCATAAGAACCCTAACCCTATGGCTGGGAGCCCTATCCGTTGGAACCCGAACCTTAGCCCCAACTCCCTTGTAGGAACCCTAACCCTAGGGCAGTGAGTCCTACTTGTGGGAATCCTAACCTTAGCCCCAACTCTCCTACCCACATAGGAACTTTAACCCTAGGGTGGGGAGACCTACCTGTAGGAACTGTAACCCTAGCCCCAACTGTCTGCCCATAGGAAGCCTAACCTAGAGTGGGGAGTCCTACCCATAGGAACCCTAATCTTAGGGTTGGGAGCCCTACACATAGGATCCCTAACTCTTTCCCCAACACCTGTATGCGTAGCAACTATAACCATAGCTCCAACTCCCTTACCTCTTCTAACCCTGACCTTAGTGTGGGGAGCTGTTACCATAGCAACCCTAAACCTTGGGCTGGGAGTCCCTACCCATGGGAACCTTAATTATAGTCTGGGAGTCCCTATCCATAGAAACCCTAATTCTAGTCTGGGAGCCCCTACTCATCAGAACCCTAACCCTAGCGCAGAAATCCCTACCCTTACCAACCCTAATTCTAGTCTGGACACCCCTACCCATAGCAATCCTAATTCTATGGTGGTGAGCCCTACCAATAGCAAACCTATATCTAGCTCCAACTCCCTGTGGGGAAAAAGAACTAGGTAGCCTTCTTAATGACAACCAAAGTAACACCGAAGGCCCAAATTCAGGCCCTCTGACAGAAGCTGACTACACAGACGGCCTTTACATAAAACAGTACAGGCCAGAACCTGAACTAAACTAGGCTGTGCAATCCCCTGCCAAATACGGTCATGGGCCATGACCAGAGGAGGGAGGGGAAGGAAGCCATGCGAAAGGCCTTAGCAACATGATAACCGCTGGTTGATGGAAAAACATGATAACTGCTCATTGATGAAACAACGGCTTATATGAAGAAATTGCTTCTAGTAAAGGCCAGATCTTCCTATGGTTCCAGTTACCTGCCACCAGCCAATCATATATCATCTGTGGGCGTCCTGTAATAAACCCCCCCGGAAAACAATATGTACCCAGATGAAAAACAACACCCCCGCTGGTGCCAAGTACCACCCAGGTCAAAACCACCAAGAAACCCCTCACCCAATAGGCACCCAATTCTCGTAAACAATGAGGAAGCTACCGGGAAAAAGGGACAGACCCCTACTCTTATTTTCGCATAAATGACGTATTATTTGTACTATGCTTGCGGTTTGACGGAATAAAAGCAGCCTGCGTGCTGTGCTATTTGTAGTAGTTTTCGGACTGCTACCCCGACGCGTTGGTATGTATTGCAATAAACTGGCCTCAGGCTTGAGTCTGTGAACTAAAATCAATGCGTGGGTGACTTTTTCCACGACATCCCCTACCCATAAGAAGGCTTACCCTAGCGCAGAGAACTCTACCCATTGTAACCCTAATTCTCATCTGGATCCCCTACCCAATGCAACCCTAGCCCCAAGTCCCCTACCCATAGGAATCGAAACCCTAGGGCTAGGAGCCCTACCCATGGAAATGGTAACACTAGGGTTGGGGGGTCCTACCAGCATGTATCCTAACCATAGGGCAGGGAGCCCTACACATAGGCACTGTAAACCTACACACAAGTTCCCTATCTGTAGGAACCCTAACCTTAGCCTAAACTCAGTTACCCATAGGAACATTAACTCTAGGACTGGAAGGCTTAATTATAGGAACCCTAGTCCTTGCCTCACATCCCCTACCCATAGAAACCCTAACCCTAGTGCGGGGAGCCCTACTCATAGGAACCCTAACTCTAACTATAGCGCCAGCTATCCTGCCCATTGTAACCCTTACTCTGGGCTGGGGACCCCTTCTCATAGTTACCCTAACCCTAGGGTAGGAAGCCCTACTGGCAGGAACTCTAACCCTAGCCCCAACTCCTATTTATACCTATAGTTACCCTAACCTTAGAGTGGGAAGCCCTCAGGATAGGAACTCGAAACCGAGCTCCAAGAACCCTACCCATAGGAACCCTACCTGTAGTTTGGGGAGCCCTATCCATAGGTACCCTGACCCTTGCTCCAAGTGCCCTACCCATAGGTACCCAATCTCATCCTCCTAGCTTCTCATCCAATCTCTCTCTCCACACTCCTACAGTTTACAGTAACCCCCCCCAATCCCCACTGACTCCCAGTCTCCCTCCCAGAGCTCTTCATTCAATCTCATTGGGACCAGCTCCTCTTCCCAATATCTTTGCTCGGCCAGTCCCAGTTCTCCTCCCCTACCTTTGCTTCTCATCAGATATGTCTCCCTCCCAGATCCTTTCCCTGCCTTACTGGTTCCCACTCCCAATGTCCCCCTTTGTGGTCCTGATCTGCTCTTGGGTCCCCCCCCCATTTCTTTCCCAGTTCCCAGTCTCCCTCACAACACCCAGTCCCAGTTTCCCTCTTGCCCCCCTCCCCCATGCTAGCCTCCAGTCCCAGACTTTCCCTCATGTTCCTTGCCCAAATCTACTTTCCTCTGTCCCAACCCCCAGTTCCAGCTCTTGTCCCCTCTGCCTTCATGTCAGTCAGCTTCCTCCTCCACATTGCTTGGATGTCAATGAGGTGGCATTGAGAGATCAGGAGAGGAACAGGGTGCCTGCTGTCAATTCCAGGTATCCAGTCCAAAGCAGCTGGGAACTGCAATTGTGAGAAAAATCTTGCTCAGTGTGGATGGTGTGATGGGTTCGGTCACAGAGACCCCCTTGGGACTGTCACCTGATGTGCTGAGATTACCTCTGAGCCCGTTTTCCCTGCCAGCTTGGGACTCCAGAACCCTGCCTTGTTGAGCCAGACACGCAAGCCTGCTGCAACATAGACCCAGGGTCTGAACCACGCCCCCAAAGCTGCAGGTTTTAACTGAAAACCACTCAGCAGATTACCTATCGCCAGCACCCAGACACCCAGCTCCCAATGGGATCCAAAACCCAAATAAATTCATTTTACTCTGTATAAAGCTTATACAGGGTAAACTCATAGATTGTCCACCCTCTATAACACTGATAGAGATAGATGCACAGCTGTTTGCTCCCCCAGGTATTAATCACTTACTCTGGGTTTACTAATAAACAAAAGTGATTTTATTAAGTATAAAATGTAAGATTTAAGAGGCTTTAAGGTTCAAAGTAATAAGAGACAGAACAAAGTAAGTCATCAAGCAAAATAAAGCAAAAACACACAAGTCTAAGCCTAATACATTAAGAAACTAATTACAGGTAAATCTCACCCTTAGAGATGTTCCAATAAGCTTCTTTCACAGACTAGACTCCTTCCTAGTCTGGGCCCAATCCTTTCCCCTGGTACAGTCCTTGTTAGTTCCAGCAGGAATCTTAGGTGAAAGGCAAGGGCTTTCTCATTACTGGGAGCCTCTTTGTTCTCTTCCACCACCTTTTATATCTTTGGCACAAGGCGGGAATATTTTGTCTCTCTGGGTTCCCACCCCTCCTTCTAAATGGAAAAGCACCAGGTTTAAGATGGATTCCAGTATCAGGTGACATGTTCACATGTCCTGTGAGACCCCCTCCATTCTTCCAGGGCTGGTCCGCACGTATACCGGAAGGCTTGCAGGTAAATAAACCATTTACAACCAATCGTCCTAGTCAATGGAAGCTATCAAGATTCTAAACCACCATTAGTGGCCCACACTTTGCATAATTACAATAAAATCTCAGAGTTATACTTCATATTCCTAGTTTCAGATACAAGAATGATACATTCATACAAATGGAATGAACACACTCAGTAGATTATAAGATCTGTAATTATACCTTACAAGAGATCTTTTGCATAAAGCATATTTCAGTTACATCATATTCACACTTATAAACATATTTTTATAAAGCATATGGAGTGCAACATCACAGATGGAATCTTTTGGGAGTTTAGCTGTGGAGTTCTAGGAAGTGTCTACTGAGCATGTGAGAACTGCAAATTTTCAAAGCCTTATAACGTGGCTAAATTTGGGCAGATTTTCAAAGGGATGCCAACAGGAACATCCCTGAAACAAAGGCCATTCTCTTGCCAAATATCAAGACCTTGCTCCAAAGTATGGAGGAATTAGAGATTCTCAAAGAAAAAGTCACCAAAATGTATTTTCCCTTATACTCATTCTCAGAATCGGCTAAAGTGTTTTGGCTGACATTTTCCAAAAACATTGAACGAGAGTCAGGCACCTGGCATGGAAATTTTCAGCCCAAACGATTAAAGTTTGGGAAAGTTATAAATAACAGAAAACTGTGTCTTATAATGGGAACTGTAGGGCAACCATAATAGTAGGCGGTGCTACCATAATAACAGATGCTGCTATAATATAGTAACAGACCCTGACAAAACCTCCTGCCCCCCTTACCCTACCCCACCCCTGGGTATACTTTCCTCATCTCTTAAATTCTGACACAATGGTGAGGCTAATTCAGAAGTTCTGCAGAAATCTAAATTTCAAATATCAGGTAACCCAAAAAGTAGCTTGTGTGTGTCGCTCCATTACTTTCCTGGTTCACTTCTAACCAGACCCTGTCACCCTTCTCCAGCTTAAGGACTGTACTTCCTGACATATTTTCATAAGAGTTTAGGGTGGTCTGATATGATCCTATCACTGCCTGGCTGTTTTTCATTAGCTGAATGGACGTGGTGTTCTGGTACAACTCCACATTGTAGCCAAAGTAATAAACTCCAGGTATTTGGCAAGTGAAAATTCCTGTGGCCTTATCAAAATGTTGCTGATCATTGTATAAAATTTGATGAAATATAATGGGTTGTTTAGGAGCTGGATAGTTTTTGGCGAGTTTCATGGCAAAGGCAGATTTCTGACGTGGTGAGCATTCTCCCGGGCTTCCTTGTGGGCCGGTGGGACCTGGTTGTCCACTTTCGCCCTTTGGTCCCATTGGACCTAGTTTTCCTGGAGGGCCCTGTGGCCCACGCATTCCTGTGGAACCTGAAAAGGATTACAAAAGAATGAGCTAGAAGCAGATACTTTTCCATTTGTTCTCATCCTGCTCAGATGTGACTCATTTAAAATCCCCCAAAACTTCTTTGTTGACAATGCCTGCAGTGGGTCAGTTAGAGACACTGCCCACCAGGGTGGGATAAACTACAGTTTAAAGCATTGCAAACTCCCTAAAGTAAGAGAAATACTCCTACCATACCCATAAACTCTGTTCAAAGTAAAACACCTCAGCTTTAACTCTAGAGAAAACACTCTACTCTTAATTATTGTCCTCGGGAGTGAAAATGTTTGACTGACACACACTCCTTGTGGTTTATTCCTAATGCTCTGGTGTGTGGCTAAGTGTTTAGGCTCATGAAGCATTTTCAGGTGGGATGTGTGTATACAGGTGTGGATGTGGATGAAGAGTGAGTAGAGCTCTGTCTTTAACACTTCTGTGGGTGGATATTGTCCTCTCTCTGGTGTCTCAGAGCAAGGAGGCGATCATTTATCCTAAACCAGTGGAATTCATCCAGTGCTGGATGTAAGGCAGGGTCAGAGGGGAGGTGATTTGCAGCTCCAGCATAGGGGCTGTGCAAATCACCTCCCTTCTGGATTGCCCCCCTGAGCAGTTTAAATTAGCTCAAGAGCTTCCCTAATAGAACTGGTCAAAAAATTATCAATTTTTTTTCTCCCCCAATAGATTATTTTTTTGACAAAACAAACTTTCAACAACAAAACAAATTATTTATTTTTTGCGGGGAGGGGGGAAAATCGTAAACTTTGAAGAAAAATTTCACAGGGGAAATTTCCCCCCCAACCAGTTTTATTCCCTGTCTTGTGCCCCTTTAAAGCTCCTACAGCATTGCAAAAGGGGGGGAGTCACTGAAGGACAGCAATACCCTGGCTCCATCCTTAATATAACCCCTTATCTCCTCAGAACTGCCGGAAACATGTATGTGTGGGCACCCAATGCCCCCCCCCACCACCACCGCCTGAGAATGCTTCATGAGCCTAAACACTAAGACTAACCCAGAGCATTAGGAATAAACCACCAGGAGAGTGTGTCAAACATTTTCACTCCCTTGGGAGGCCATTAAGGTGGATTGAGAGGTAAGTTGTTTTTTTTTACTTGCCAAAAACCCAGTTCAGGATTCAGTATTTCACTGCAAGGCCTCTCCATGATGAAACCATTCCTAGCTGTTGTTATCCAAATGTCTCTTACTGCATTTCTCGGCTGTACATCTGGTGTCTAATATATATACATACCATATTCCTACATTCAGAAAGGGCAAATCTCTGATCTTAGGATCATAATTCTATCACTAAGTAACTGTTGCTATGAAGTGTTTCTGGTTGTTCCAAATATGCAATGTACTGAATTCTGAATAAGAAACTGGTGACATGGTGCTATCAAAAGTTGGTATAGCGTGAAATGATTCACTTAAATGTGACTTACCTGGTTCCCCTCTGAGTCCCTTCTCCCCTTTCTCCCCATTGAACCCATTATGACCAGGAACTCCATTGTTCCCAGGAGGACCTTGGGGTCCTGGGATACATAGAGCAAGAGGGTTTTTTTCCTGTACTGCCACAGTGACGGAAACAGCTAAAATCCAGACACCTGGAGTGGGAGAAAGGGGAAAGCCATTCATTAGAGCTTGCTAACAGTAGTTTTCTGCAAGCAAAATTCAAAAACAGCCATATAGATTGGGGTTTCTGGATGTGAACTGCACAGTACTTCTCAGCCTACCACTACTCAAATCATCATTAATCACGTTTATTACGGTAGTGCCTAAGGGCCACCCAAGATCAGGGCCCTATTGTGCTAGGCATTCTACAAACACAGGGCAGTAGGCCCCAGAGATCTTACAAATGTGGGACAAAGTCTTAAAATAAGGGTGGTCTTGTATCTCAGTACAAAGGATCCGGGGGGGAGAAGCAGAGTAGAAGAAAGTTATATAATGTAGGGTTACCATATTTCAGCAAGCAAAAAAGAGG